ATCACCTCCTAAAGATACTATTGTAATTACTCAATAAAAGCACATCAAGGAAACAATTTTACCAGCTTAAGTGATCAGCCCCCCTCCCCTTAAACCCATACATCTGCCAGGAAGATTGAAGTCTGAAACTGACCTTTTAAAAAAAAAGTTAAATAAAAAGGAGATGAAGAAAAAGGAACCATCTTCAAATAACCCCAGAAGTGTAACAACCCAAAACAGCAAAAGATCTACATCTGACCTAAGAAAAGTACATACTGTAACTAGAACATGTTAGTACTCACATAGTCCTCCAAAATCATGACTTCCCTTGACACATTTCCAAGTCCTCAAAACACACTCAGAAAACACTGTTCTCCACAGATGCCAATGTTACTAAGACAATCGAGGCAGTAAAACAAAGCAGCTTATGATGTGTATTTTACTCATGTAAAAAGATTAAGTAATCCCTATTTTTGAACTTGGAAGTAAATACAGGAATTACAAAAAATAAAGAAAAGAAAAAATAATAAAAACACAAATATTTGGTCTGACAAAAGATATTTGACTAGGAAAATATAAGAAGCCAATCTACAGATATAAATAAATGATACCTTAGAAGTCTTCACAAGAGCAACTGAACCCAAGACTTAAATGACTTCTACTTTATCATGGAGGAGAATTTAAGGAAATTTTTGAAAAAAAAAAAAAAAAAAAAAAAAAAAAAAAAAAAAAACTTGTGTAAGGTAATTAAACAGTACTATACTAAGTAGACTCTGAAATGTCTCATTAGCATTGCCAATTTTACACAATACTACCATTTTTTTTCTTTTTTTAAATTTCAGCCCCATAGCACAGGTTTACCAACTACAATACACTGTATTTCCCTTTAAATAGCTCTAAACCACTTCCATTTTTTATTAAGACAGAATACCCTCCTCTTCTTGTAAGAAAAATTATCTAGATAATATAAAAATAAAAGATATATCTTAATATTCGCATACACAAAATTAATGATGAATAAAAAGTCAAATGGACAAATAAAGATGCCTACAAAAACATTTATGATTTGCCATAGTTTATACAAGCCATTTGAATGCAAATAAACTGTAACATTTACACAGACACACATACAGTACATATATTCTGTATCACTTAAAAGTCAGTCCAGTAAATTAACAGTAACTCTCACTAAGGCACAAAGAATGCTCAAGGTTAAGATCTACGAGATATTTATGAGCACTTATATGATATGGAGCTATGGAATCATAATACAAATTGATTTTCATTACACTGACAAGATTTAAAGTGAAGGAAGACGAGAATTTATTATCTCTCTCTCTCTCTCTCTCTCTTTCTCTCTCTCTCTCTCTTTTACTTTTTCTTTTCTACTGCATGAGAAGGATTTCTTTTGAAAATATTGGCCTTTTCATACCATATTGTCTGTGTGGATTGCCCTACATTTGAACATAGCTCTACATTCATTGAAAGTGACAAAAAATACATCAATAAAATGTTGGAGATTTATCCAAATTATGTAACTCAGCAAAGTCTATAAAAGATGTAATATACAATTCACTGAAAATACAGTTTGCTTATGAAATAAGTAAACAACTAAGTCTCTCTTTCTGAATTCCCAAAGCAGACAACGAAATCCTTGTTCATATTATCTTGTCTTCCACCAGACTATTTTACTCAAGCTTGGATCATCCTGTCAACTCAAGATTTGAGAGTAGGTGACACCTTTCTTCTATTCATCTTTCTCTATTTTTTCTTTTATTTCATAGAGAAGGGGAGGGGGAAAGGAAGAGGGAAACAACAACAATCAAAGCTTCTCGCAGGTGCCCAGGTCGAGGTTTGTGGCCGAAGTCTGTGGACTTGTGGTGCGTTTCCTTGTCTCTGACACTAACTTGCGTAGAGACAGTAGGCTCGATTCTATCTGGCTAATGGTAGTATAGAACATTCTGATTAGTTACTATCTTCCTACAGCTATGGGCTATTCTCATCAAAGATTTTGAGTTTTAAAACTTTTCTCTGAGTGAGATATACAAATAAAATATATCAAAACAGCAACAATAAAAACATTACATCACTTCCAATTAAGTGAAAAATTTTACATATACTATCATGAACTGTCATTGCATAGCTCTCTTGCTTAATGACTATTAAAAACCATTATCTGTCTGAAAAATCATTGTTCATACATGGTTTTCAGTCATGAAAAAAATGACAGATATCAGGGGAAAAAATATATATCTATAGGAAGCTTTGCACGGGCTACATCTAACAAGGGCAGCAATTTGTACATCAACACAAAAGCCAGACAATTTCTGCACATACTGTCTCTAAGCAGGCTTACATAGCACAGAGCAACAAAGCAATATACACGTGGCATTTTATCTTCATGACCATCTAGAAAATAAATTACAGAGCTAAAACAACAGCCACAATTCAAAACTAAAGCTTTTATCTTGTTCCATCTTATAACCATATCAAGTAACTCTTGACTGTCACCCCACTCTCT